GTGATCAAAGGAATGCCTTGAAGATCGACCAGTCGATCGCGATTGACCGGTTGGTGACCACTGCTTTAGTGTCTTATTGCAAACAGGATGCATTTTTTGGAATATTCTGTACAGGCTTCCTTCTTTTCACTATGTCATTTAGGTTAGTATTGTGGAGTAACTACAACCCTCAGTTTTATCCTATCACTGCCATTAAACTCTCTAACTTTTTTAAAGTTACCATTGGCCTCATGGTGAAATCCCTGAGCGGTTTCCTTCCTCTCCAGCAACTGAGTTAGGAAGGATGCCAGTATCTTTGTAGTGACTGGGTGTATTGATACACCATCCAAAATGTAATTCATAACTTCACCATGCTGAAGGGGATATTCAATGTCTGCTTTTTAATTTTTAAAAATCTATCTACCAATAGGTGCCCTTCTTTGCGAGGCATTGGATAACCTCCTTTGTCTTTGTGGTTGAATCTGTGTTTGAAATTCACTGCTCGACCAAGGGGCCTTACAGATAATTGTATGTGTGGGGTACAGAGATGAGGTAATCATAAAAAAATCATGTTAAACACTATTATTGCACACAGAGTGAGTCCAAGCAACGTATTATGTGACTTGTTAAGGACATTTTTACTCCTACACTTATTTAGGCTTGCCATAACAAAGGGGTTGAATACTTAGACTCAATTTCATCTTTTCATTTTTTATATATATATAATAAAAAAAAATCTGAAAACATAATTCCACTTTGACATTATGGGGTATTGTGTGTAGGCCAGTGATGACACAACATCTCAATTTAATCCATTTTAAATTCAGGCTGTAACATAACAGAATGTGGAAAAGTCAAGGGATGTGAATACTTTCTGAAGGCACTGTATTAGTAGGCTATATGTAAAGACCAGATTAAATTGAGAATACTCTAATGGGTGAGAATATTATCAGTGCTTGTCAAATTGTGAATGAGAGACTGATGAAGTGTGTGCAGCCTGCGCAAGAAACAGATCAGAACTTTTTTCAAATCATCATTAGAGTCGCATCATGCAGCATTAGAATGTATTAAAAATGAAAACATATAGCCTAAGGTTTGTATCACAACTAAAGTTGCATAAATAAATTAAGCATATAGGAGGACCTCTTTCAAATGATCACTTTGTTAACTGCTCAACACAAAATAGGTGCATGTGCGCACTCCCTTGGAAATCATTTGGGGAAAATATCATTTCTATTTTATTAATATCTGTTCAGTTGTATTCTTCTTACATAAAACAATATAAAATAATGCCATGGGCATTATAAGCAAATCTTGTCTGCTAAATGAACTAGTGCAGCCCACAGCAATATGGCATAGCCAGATCAGGGCCTAACGTACGGAAGACTCAGAATATGCTATTCTGTTCTTCTGAAATAAGCCTCATTTTCTTCATATCATAATGTTTCTTTAGACCTGCCTAAAATAAATAATGGATTTATTGTGATGGTGTAGACTATATTAAATGGATTGATTAGACTTTTTTTTAATGTAGATGTTCCAAAGGTCTGCATCAGTGGCTTGTAGGCTATGCGTGGAAGCCTGGAGATGCTAAACGTTTTTATGTTAATTAATGGTCAATTACCGTGAGACCGGCAGTTATTTGCATGACAGTTACCAGCTGACAGGATTTAATGACCGCTACAGCCCTACTCATCATAACTCCTTTTCCACAGACTCAAAATGACAATAACTCATTATGATATCGTTATGAGATTATACTGTCGGACATCAGAGGATGTCGAACAATGCATTATAACTGCATCATAATGCATTATACATATCAGCTTTAAGTAAAGTGTTACAGATCTTAGCACTATGACAGTTTGAAGATCAAAATGCCAATGCCATTCCCATAGGCTGAAATGCTAGTGGAGCTACATACCATTCCTTTTTCATTGGCTGGCCAGCTCATACGGATGAGGCCATTGCTATATAGCATATGTATGAGCAAGTGAGCTCTATTTGTCACTCATTCTCCTTCATATCAGCCACTAGACTGGCCTTTGGTTGCGTATGCTCCTTAAAGTTGCTCCAGTTTCATTTCATATGCTCTGCTGACATTTGGCAGGGCACCTGTTTTGTAACCGAAATTGGATTTCCTCATGTATGATCCTTCTGGTTGAAGCCTGTTTGTAAGTGGATGCCTTTATTAATACAAGATGCCCTTAAAACATCCAACATGCCTAGTCTGAAACATGGTTAGGTTTCTTGGAGAACACTGACGAAACTCGATGACATCTCGAATACTTCAGGCCGTGGCTCAGGTGGCTGGGGTCCCTGATGATCAGTTTGGGCATCCAGGAGAGAGAAGTCAGCGCAGCATCAGGTGTTCCTCATGGGGCTCTGTAACAATCCTCCTCAGTTCTGATTTGTCAGCTCTTCTCACCCCTAGGACAAGCATAGAAAAAGAAAGAATAGAATGAGAGACAGAGAGCACTAGGGCTGTTACTCTGTGGGTATAAATACAGGGGACAAGGGACATATCAATCTGGTGTCATGTGTGTGTGTATGTGTACTTACCTCAATAGCGAAGAATGGGTCGATGTAGGGATTGAGAACAAACAGCTGGCTTCCTCTGGGCCACCTTGTCATGCACTTTGTCCCATCTTCAGGATTCATCATCTTGGGTTGATTCGAACCTACATCATATTGATTCGAACCGACATCACATAAAAAAGCCTCTCCGAACGTTGAGTAGTTTGAACATGCACCCCTGTCTACTTTCTACAATCGTGCACGGTGATCTGTAAAAGAGAAACTCTCAAAACAATGGCGGTTTTATTGGATAATATTCATTTATTGTTCAATAAAAATATATATATATATATTTTAAATGACGTGATGTCTCCTTCATGACTGTGCCCAGTGGATCTGCCAAAGGGTCCTTGTAAAGATCAGGCTTTTCTTCTCCTTTGGCTGGTGAGGGACTTGCAAACCCCCCTCACCCTCTGCCCCTTCACCCTTCAGAATTGACTTCTGACCTCTATACTGTTGACAGACCCAGCAGCCTGACGTCTAACAGTAGATACATTCAGTCCCGTTTTCTCTATGTCCAAGTATTCTCTTGTTGTTTTTTTGCAGTCTGCCCTTGTAAAAACCGTCTTTAACAATGTGAATAAAAGATACATCTAAGCGCTAACACAAGAATTCAAACCATCAGTAAAACCAAGACTTTTCAATTACAACTTCACATCAGTTGCTCTTTAAGACTTATTTTCATAGTTATATGTAAACACAAATTTTTTGGGGGGAGGGTAAAGGAAACTAAACTGTAAACACTTTTATCAGGCTCGGAGATCCCAACCACGTCTAAGGGAAGGCTATAGAACAGGGTAGAAGGTTCTAGGTCTAAAGTTTTCTGGACCCACAATGTCACAGTAAGTGCAGGCTTTCATTCCAGACATCAGGGCATCATATTCAACCAGGGTCTTTCATACAGGGCTGAAATGCCTTCTGTTTGAACCCTTTCAAATGCCATTTCACTCCAAAGAAGAATTTAGGAATGCCTTGAAGGTTTTGCTACATTGGATTTCCACCAAATGAACACGAAGATGAGTGCTCGACTAAAACCAAATCCTGCAGCCACTGTGAGCTCAAGGAGCTTAATAGTATCACGTTGAAGAGCAACTTGGCCATTCCTATTTCCATTGGAGTACTTACAGCACTGTACTGACTAACAGACCCCCAATGAGGTGACAAACACCTCTTACTGGTCGGATAACACAAAACACTGCACTGGCTAACGGTTAGCACATGACTAGCATGGCCCAGTCTTTGAAGGAATTCTGGAAGATGGACAATCGTCTCGAATCACAAAGAAACAAATGGGAAAAAACAAGTATTGCTTCTCTTTCTTTTGTTCCTGTTTGGGTTTCATAAAAATAAATACAAATATGTTGTCTTTGCCTTTCTGATCCTTAGCTGCGTTAGATGAGATTATTGTTTGTTCTATGACCCCACCACAGTATGGCGGGAGACGCCTTGTACAAAGTATTTGTTCCTGCACTCAGGTCGAAAAAGAAACACCAGAAAGTAAATGCCATGATCCCAAAGAAATGGCATCCTCCTTTCTCCCATCCCTCCCTCCTACCTCCCTTCCTCCTTATTTCTATCCTTCTGTCTTGTGTGTACTCCTAGCTCTCTCCTTCCCAAAGTCAAAACAGTGGCCAAGGGAGGCGAGTCTGACAGAGTGACAAGCAGACAGGTCAAACTGCCGGACAGATTCCAGATTCTTTCCAGAGCTGGGAGATGCAAGCCCCCTTCCCTCTCGATGGGCTGTCTGGGAAGAGTCCAGGGCCTACATCCTGGGAACATCTGGAAGGCCGGCTGCAGGGCTGAAGCCAACAGCCTCTTGGAATGACACCATGAGAGAGAAAAAGCCTTGTCCACCCGCATATGGCTGCAGATGACGATACCGTGGTGTTCTGGCAACGCAGGCGCCAAAATGTGTTGCCGTCAATCACGCCTCATGCCAGAGTGCCGTGGCATTCATTCATTAATCTTCTACACCGTCACATTCCTTTATGGGCTCCGACATTTGACGATGCAAATAATATAATAATAACCGTTTTCCATTTGCTTTTGTTCATTTGGTGCCCAGATGAGGGTTGAGGAAGGAAGGTAAGTTTACATGGGGTGGGAGGAGACTTCATGGAAACAGAGTCTCACAGCAGCATTTCAGCTAACAAAAAACAAAAACAAATAAACAAACATAAAATCATTGACTAGGCTCTGTAGCTACAGTACTTTGACGGAAAAAACTACCAAAGAGGAAAAGAGAGAGAAAGAGAGAGAAAGAGAGAGAAAGAGAGCGCGAAAAGGTGAGAAAGTTCCAGAGGAAATTCCAGTTCATCCTAGGTAGGGTGCCTACCTTTGGCCCAAGTGAAATGTTCGAAGTTCATGGTCCCACATTTCTAAAGGAGGAATCTCCCTCTAATAGTCCAGACCTCCCTGATTGGGGGGGAGGGGACCGCCTAGTTTCAGACAGTAGTCGCCCTGCTGTACTGCAGTGCCAGGGGTGAGTACTCCTTGATGCGGACGCACAGCTTGCCCCGGAGCCAGGGGTTCTGTAGCTCCAGGGGACAGAAGCCATCCTGGAGCCACTTCTCCCTGCCATCCACCACCAGCACCAGGCCAAAGTGCTCCAGCTGCTCAGGGCTGTACATACACTGCTCATCCTCCGCTCCCCCTCCATTACTACTGCTACCTCCGAGGAGCCGCCGCGACACCGCGTTCATCTCCTGCACCACCAGCTGGACCATCTCCCTGGCCGATGTGCCTGGGGTCACCCGCAGCTTGGAGGGAGAGAGACAGCGAGACAGAGAGATGGGGGGAGGGGTAGAGAGAGGAAGAGAGAGAGGAACACAGGCAATCAGATTAAACAGAACGTGAATGGTCAAAAGGGGTTTCAATGGTATAACTGGGGCAGAGTTATGACAGTTTTATAATTGGATATCCAAATCAAAGAGTTACCCAAAAATGAACAACAATTCATTAAAACTTTACTTCCTCAAGCCAAGTTCCCCATACCTTCACGCTGGTTTCCTTGGGTAGCCTGGTTCGGTACTGTGGGTACACCCGTAGCGTGGCAGTCCAGCCTTTCCTGTGGGTACCAGGCGAGGGGGCACCCGAAAGCCTCTGGGTGCCGCTGTCTTCTGACTGCGTGCGGGCAAGGGGCTCGGGGTTTGGCAGGCACTGCTCAGTAGGGCAGTAGCGGTCCACAGAGGAGGGTCGGTGCCAGCGGTGGTGGGCGGAGGAGGATGGCGATGGTGAGGGTGAGTGGGCAGGATGACCACCAGAGGGAGAGGGGAATTCAAGACTACTGGTTCTCACACAGAAGGCTTGCCTCTTCTCCGTGATCCTCAGTAGTTCGATTTGCCGGCTGGGTAGGATGAAGTCGCTGTCCCTTTGCCTCTCCCCCCCGGGCCCCACTCCGCTCAGCCGTCGTTCGCCGGCAGTGCCCGCCTGGGGCTCCGAGGCCTGGAGGACGTCTGGGGTGGAGTCCCTCAGCTCCCCCATCCCTGAACCCTCTCCACCCCCTCCTCCCACACTGTCACTGGTGGAGGAGAGGGGGGAGGGGGGCAGCAGGTCCAGTTCGCGCAGGCTCTGGGCACGGCTGGAATCGTAGTCACTGTCGGTGGTGAGGAAGACCTCAGAGGAACCCTCTTCGTCAGAGAGACCGTGGAAGTCTACTGGGAGGGAGAAACAAAACACACACAATCATTCCCTTTTAAGTAAAACACACACAACCATTCACTTTTGTAAAACCCACACACAAACAATAATTTATTTTATGCCCTCCCCCGGACCCAACACCACAAGACCATGTTTTCAGAATGAAAAACTCCTGGCCCTATCCCTCTCCTCTATAAGATAAGTTCTCTGGGTCTCACCAGAGTGCTTGCGGCTGGGTTCGGGGGAGGGCATAGGCGAGGGCAGGTAGTCTGGCTGGGAGGAGGTGGAGCAGGGCGTGTCAGGCATCAAGTCCCTGGAGAAGTCGATGATCCAGGCCAGGGAAATGCCCCCTGTGGGCTGCTTGTAGCGGGCATACTGTAGAGCATCCATAATCCACCGTGCCTCCCGCCACACCTCCTCCATTTGCTGTAGTAAGGGGAAACGCGCGGGGAAAATCGTTTACTTTTAGTGCACTTTGAAACGCCATGTGCTATGATTGAACTGTAGGTGAGCCGTATTCTATTAGCTCCTTGTGTGATGCTATCTTAGCCCTTATATGTCTCTAGTCATTATTATTGAGCACCTGGAGACTAAATCCATATCAGAATATCAGGGTTACGGTTAGCTCAGCTAGGACTCCCATCTACCTGCATGTGCTCCTGGACCTGCTGGTGTTTCTGCTTGGCGGCGTGGAGCTCCGTCTCTGAGAAGGCCTCCCTCAGGGTCTGCTGGGACATGAGCAACTCCAGCTCCAGCAGGGCAGACACACGGCAGTACTGCCCTATGAAGCTGGGGCAGTAGGCATCAAAGTGAACTATAGAGGGGACAGGATAGAAAAGCGCACAACACAGACCTATTATCTAAAGAAAAAATACTAAATAACTCACAGATAAAAAATACTATCACCTTTCCAAATGCACTTTATGCACTTCAGATAAGTTTCACATAACTTTTTAATGACTTTTAATTGCTTTGGGTTTAGTGCACACCGTCACAACAGTCTCAAGCATTAATCTGAAGTCAACTGTACAAACTATTTTAAGTCACAATAATAATCTGAGGTCAACTGAATGAACATAGTTGAATAAATAACAGTATTGGGAAGAAAGAAGGAAATCCTACTAGACAGAGCAGTACTGACCCAGCTCAAAGACCTGCAGAGGCAGGGTGAGGAAGCCTGATTGGGGGGAGTAGGGGTTGTTCTGGCCGGGGGCCGTACACACGTCGTCTGAGGGGGGCAGCAGTAGCAGGAAGGACACCTTGTCCCCAAACTCCAACACCTCCTGGGCATAGATACGGAAGTCCTGTGCCTGGAAGAGGGGGACAGCATACTGAGTCACAACTATGACATTATTGCCATGTAGTGGATGGATATACAGTATGGATGTAAGAAATGGATGGCTGGATGGATGGTTAAAATGTATTACACCTAAAGGTTTTTTAAATATTGTTTTATATTTTTTATTACTACAGGTTTTTGCTGCGGTCATCTTTGGGTATTTCTGCCATTTTATTATTTTTTGGAAGGCTCAGGATCTACAATGTTTATCCAGTGATAATAAGCAATAATTGATGGATGGGTGTGTTGGATGGATGCTGACCTGGCTGACGGGGATGTTCATGTTGGCCATGAGGTCCTTGGCAGCACTGCGTAGGTCCTGTAGGAGGCGGTGTGGAGCGCTCTGGACATCCTGGTCCATCTCCAGAGACTCCTCCAAAGAACTGAGGGCCTGCAGCCACTGCCACTCCTCCCTGACAAACACACACACACACACAAACAGTTACATATATACAGTATTACAGACAACGGCTAGTATTTCAATAACAATACCGTAACATGAAAACCAATAAATTCACTGATAAACCGGGATAGCCAGGTACTTCACCTAGACACATTACAGTTGTCTCGTATCTTGGTGTGACAGAGGACATTGGGCAGCTTTTGAGGCACCAGGGCTCTGATCTGGTCCATGGAGCTACACAGCTTCAGGTAGCCCAGGTAGAGGCCTGGGGAGAGGAGCTTCCTGCTCCGTCTGTGGTATGCCAGCTTCTCCTGAAATAATGACGGGAACCAGATGGGAAAGACATGAGACAGCTGTTGTTGGCGTCTGGGATTGCCTTTGATATTGTGTATTTTGATGTCATTTATTTAAATGTTGTTGTTGCTTTGAGGGCTTTGAGGATCGGGTTATTTTGGGGGTTTAAGTTAATATGAAATAATAACCATATAATGCATTTGATTTTTGTTCGATTATATAATTTGTTCATATTTGGAATCATAAGCTATATTTATATTGTATTCAATATATCATTATATATTAATATTCACATTCATATTATATATTAACATATACTGAAGTTCCAGCCATTGTTTTTGGAATGAAAACCCCAAACCAACATGCAGGGCAAACAAAACAACATCAGATCGGCTGGTATCAGGTTCACCAGAAACAAACATTTACTCTAATTCATATTCAGAGAGCATTGGTAGCGACAAACTGATTGTTAATTGGATTTGTTCCGACATTTCTAGATTTTTTTATTTCTAAATGTTTTTGTGTTTGACATTTTACTGCATCGTTAGGAGCTAGTAACATAAGCATTTCGCTGCAACATCTTCTAAACCGTGTAAGCGACCACTGAACTTTTATTTGATAGTATTTAGATGAGCCTTTCTGGATATGTAGGGTCTATTGCAACGAGCATTGGCCAGCGTACTAACACAAGGTAATCTCTCGTTAAACCATCAAACCAAGGTAAAATCACCCGCACAGCTGATCTCAATTGCCTCCATCATTGGCCACTGATTTACCGGTCCCTAAAGCAGATGCTGGGGGGAACTTTTAGTCCTGATTGCTGTCAACATTTTTCAAGACAATTTCGACCTCTGGTGGGTATTATGATCGGAACAAATGAATCCTGCTTTGTTAGCAGACTAAGGGTGATTTATCTATTTGACAATAATTCCGTACAACTGAAATAAAGTATTTTCTCGTTTACCACGGCAAATCTAATGTGGCAATTTACCCGACACCTTTTCGTTTCGAATTTATGTAATCCATTAACTACAACTTGTCTTTAAAAAGAAAGTTGTCTTTAAAAAGTATGGTAATGTCTTATCAAGATCGGGGGAGTTATATTATCTATATATACTTTTTAAAATCAAATGTAGTCTAATAAAGTTATTTCAAATTACACATATTATATCATTTTGCCATTTAAGGTGAAACATTTGAATAAAATATAGGCCTACTAATTCTATATTCTTATTATACTCTAAATATTTTTTACATTCAACAGCCTTATGGTTTCCAATACACCTGATAGGTCAATATTTCCTTGAGGGCGGGAGTAGAGAACCTAGACGCAGCTGTCTAGCAGCATAATCACTTGACAGGGTAACAATAAGAGATCAACTGATATGCTGGCTTATTCTTGAGGGTTTTTGTTTGCAAAATCGTTTGTTTTAACATGCAGGTCCAGCATTAACATTTACATTTTAGTGATTTAGCAGACGCTCTTATCCAGAGCGACTTACAGTTAGTGAGTGCATACATACTTTTTTTATTTTTCATTCTGGCCCCCCGTGGGAATCAAACCCACAACCCTGGCGTTGCAAACGCCATGCTCTACCAACTGAGCTACATCCCGGCCATTCCCTCCCCTACCCTGGACGACACTGGGCCAATTGTGCGCCGCCCCATGGGTCTCCCGGTCGTGGCCAGCTATGACAGAGCCTGGATTCAAACCAGGATCTCTAGTGGCACAGCTAGCACTGCGATGCAGTGCCTTAGACCACTGCGCCACTTGGGTGTGCGTTAAATTCTGCCTGTCTGTTGCAATCGACCCAATATGTCTGAAAGACTCAACTATTCTAATTACTCTCATTTAAATGAATGGCGTTTCAGGGAATTTGAGCATAAAATTAATTATGGGAGCTGTTTTGCTGGCATGGATCCATTGTCTAGCATTTACATGTCCGCTGTGACTGTGAGTCAACTGGACTAGCTTGATAGACTACTTAGATACAAGTGACATGTAGGCATGACAGGAAGCGGATTGCCATGTGTGTTTACAACGAAAATAATCGCATGCAATGTGGTGAAGGGTAAATGTAGGGAACAGTTTAAACATTGTAATTTTGGTTTGGCATGAATGGAACCTTAGCCTCTTTGTATGCTGAAATGCAGTTACTGTAAGTACTAGCAGGAATACAAATAGCTACGATGCATATTTCGCATCATTATCCTCAGATTCAAACTCGATCCAAATTCAATCCAATTAGCTATTACAAATTATTCCATGTTAGTCCCTGGGGATTCTGAAATGTTTAAGAAAAAGGGTGTCAGTGTCGCTAATGCTACAGTGCTAAGCTACAAACACCAGTGATTGTAATGGGTTGGGACCTACATGGAGGGTGATGAGCAGCATGTCCAAGGCCGTGGGCTCCTCAGGGGACGTGATGGACTTGCGTTGGAGCTGGAGCTTACACAGCTGGGTCCACTTCATTCCGTCCAGACTGGGACATGCGTTCATGTCCCTCAGCAACACCAGCAGGGTGTTGCCATGCTTATCTTTGATTGGCTCAAAGTAAACCTGACCCAGGTCCTGAGTTCCCAGCATGTCCTGCAAAAACATCCCCAAAAATACACTTTCAAAGACAGATTACCTTTGATGGTTTTGACCAGAATCTGATGGTTTCAATTAACATTTGATGGTTCTGACCAATGTTAATCAATTTTTAATGGTTTTGGCTAAGAGTTGTTGGTGTTGATGAAGATTGGATGGTTTTGACCATGTTATCAGTTGTAACTAGTCATAAACAACCATGAGTGGTAATAAGGTGTTATTAAGGTGTTATGTCATGTTTATAACTGTATTGATGGGTTAGGAAGTACCTGGAGCTGGGAGACGGCCTGCAGCATCTTGAGGCGTGTCTGGAGGGTGCAGGAGCAGGAAGACTGGGAGGGGCTGAGACACTGCTGCAGCCACGGAATCTCCTCCCATAGGTAGGACACCTGGGGATGGACGATACACAAGCACTTTCTTTTACGCTACAGAAATTACCAGGTATTAGAAAGTAAAGGGTAAAATGGTAATCGCAAAGTAACAACCTATATTTGTGTATTACCTCTAGGACTCAGTAAATCAAGCACCACTGGGTACCATTAGGTATCAGGTTGTTAGCATGTTAGAAATTTTGTAGAATTCTTTGAAGTACTGTTAGTACCAGAAAGTACCAACTCTAAATACCAGTGGAAACTGTAAAATGTGAAACGTGAGGAATGGCACTAGCACGTTTGTTACCTTAGTGAACCATAGGAAGTCCTGCATCTGTGAGCTGGAGTAGGAGTCATCTATCTCTACGATGGGGATCTGGTCCTCAGGCGTCACCAGGACGTTGTCGTCTTGGTAAAATATACATGTCAAATAGAGACCTCTGGAGGACCATTGAGACAAAGCAGAGTCACTTAGTTTTGAACAATTCTCAAAAGTCGCTAATTCAAGACAGCAAAATGGTGGCCTCCTTGAACTATTAATTCTAACAATAGCCTATAGGTAGAATTACATTTGAGATTATATTTTGTGGCATTTGTAGCATTTATTGGGGTCAAAAGAAATGATCTTATGAAAGTGAAGATGGAAGAAGGCAGGAGATACAATACATGGAGGTGTAAAGGGAGACCAGAAAAGCACTTATGTACCGTTTCAAACTTTTGACAAATTTGCTGTTGGGCTGGAAGAGGTGGCGCAAGCTTTTGGATACAGAGTGTTTCCTCACGTGTGGAGGGGCTTTGCACTGCTCTGGAAGGAAGAGATAGTCAAAAGAAGGATTCATATAATTACCAAGCCGAAGACACAGTAAGAATGTACAGTAAGAACCTATTTTCCTCGGTGCATCACTGTTAGGAATGGAATCCTGTGTCCCACAACTTACAGTGGCTTGCGGAAGTATTCACCCACCTTGGCATTTTTCCTATTTTGTTGCCGTACAACCTGGAATTAAAATTGATTTTGGGGGGGGTTGTATCGTTTGGTTTACACAACATGCCTACCACTTTGAAGATGCAAAATATATTTTTCAGTGAAACAAACAAGAAATAAGACAAAAAAATAGAAAACTTGAGCGTGCATAACTATTCACCCCCCCCAAAGTCAATACTTTGTACAGCCACCTTTTGCAGCAAGTACAGCTGCAAGTCTCTTGGGGTATGTCTCTATAAGCTTGGCACATCTAGCCACTGGGATTTTTGCCCATTCTTCAAGGCAAAACTGCTCCAGCTCCTTCAAGTTGGATGGGTTCCGCTGGTGTACAGCAATCTTTAAGTCATACCACAGATTCTCAATTGGATTGAGGTCTGGGCTTTGACTAGGCCATTCCAAGACATTTAAATGATTCCCCATAAACCACTGGAGTGTTGCTTTAGCAGTATGCTTAGGGTCATTGTCCTGCTGGAAGGTGAACCTCTGTCCCAGTCTCAAATCTCTGGAAGACTGAAACAGGTTTCCCTCAAGAATTTCCCTGTATTTAGCGCCATCCATCATTCCTTCAATTCTGACCAGTTTCCCAGTCCCTGCCGATGAAAATCATCCCCACAGCATGATGCTGCCACCACCATGCTTCACTGTGGGGATGGTGTTCTCCGGGTGATGAGAGGTGTTGGGTTTGTGCCAGACATAGCGTTTTCCTTGATGGTCAAAAAGCTCAATTTTAGTCTCATCTGACCAGAGTACCTTCTTCCATATGTTTGGGGAGTGTCCCACATGCCTTTTGGCGAACACCAAACGCTTATTTTTTTCTTTAAGCAATGGCTTTTTTCTGGCCACTCTTCCGTAAAGCCCAGCTCTGTGGACTGTATGGCTTAAAATGGTCCTATGGACAGATACTCCAGTCTCCGCTGTGGAGCATTGCAGCTCCTTCAGGGTTATCTTTGGTCTCTTTGTTGCCTCTCTGATTAATGCCCTCCTTGCCAGGTCCGTGAGTTTTGGTGGGCGGCCCTCTCTTGGCAGGTTTGTTGTGGTGCCATATTCTTTCAATTTTTTTATGATGGATTTAATGGTGCTCTGTGGGATTTTTTTATAACCCAACCCTGATCTGTACTTCTCCACAACTTTGTCCCTGACCTGTTTGGAGAGCTCCTTGGTCTTCATGGTGCCACTTGCTTGGTGTTTCCCCTTGCTTAGTGGTATGGCAGGTGTAAATATACTGAGATCATGTGACAGATCATGTGACACTTAGATTGCACACAGGTTGACTTTATTTAACTAATTATGTGACTTCTGAGGGTAATTGGTTGCACCAGATCTTATTTAGGTGCTTCATAGCAAAGGGGGTGAATACATATGCACGTACCAATTTTCCGTAATTTATTTTGTAGATTTTTTTTTTACACGTTTTTTTTTCATTTCACTTCACCAATTTGTACTATTTTGTGTATGTCCATTACATGAAATCCAAATAAAAATCTATTTAAATTACAGGTTTGTCACGGATTCAGCCGAGGCTGCTCCTCCTCCTTGCTCGGGCAGGCTTCGGCGTTCGTCGTTACCGGAGTACTAGCTGCTACCGATCTATGTTTCTGTGTTCTACTTGTTTTGTCTTCATTGTACACACCTGGTTGTCACGCCCTGGCTCTGGGGACTCTCGTATGTTGAGCCAGGGTGTTCATTTGTTTATGTTCTAGTCGTTGTATTTCTATGTTGGCCAGGGTGGCTCCCAATCAGAGAGGGCTGTAGCTCGTTGTCTCTGATTGGGAGTCATACTTAGGTAGCCGTTAGGCATTCATTGTTTGTGGTTTCTTGTTCTTATTTGGTTTGTGTTCAACCGTAGACATCACGTTATCGTCTGTTGTTTTGATCGTGTGATCATTCGCTAAATAAATATGTTCACCTTCAACGCTGCGCATTGGTCCTCCTCCTTAGACGATCGTGACAGAAGAAACCACCAGAACTGGACCAAGCAGCCTAGTGAGGAGCAGAGTGGGTGGACTTGGGAACAGTGGAGGAAGAGCTTCGACTGGGTCAAGCCGAATGAGGAGCTGAATGGCGGAGATTGGAAGCAGAAGAGCGAGAGTTGGGCGAGAATTATAGAGGCCTGGCCCACGGGGAGGAGAGACTCCCAGAAAATTTTTAGGGGGGGGCTCACGACGTCGGACCAGCAGGAGGCCGCGATAGAGCGGCCCAGCGGGTTGCCAGAGGAGGCCGCCAGGTTACGGGGGCCACTGGTCGAAGAGGGGATGGAGGATGTAGAGGCACGGCGAGAGGTACTGGCGTGTGTTGCCAGTCCGGTCCGGCCTGTTCCTGATCCCCACGTGGGGCCAGTGGTGTGTGTTCCCAGTACGGTCCTGCCTGTTCCTGCCACTCGCACCAAGTCAGTGGTGCGCTTCGTCAGCCCGGCACGGCCCGTTCCTGCTCCCCGCACCAAGTCAGTGGTGCGCTTCGTCAGCCCAGCTCGGCCCGTTCCTGCTCCCCGCACCAAGTCAGTGGTGCGCTTCGTCAGCCCGGTCCGGCTCGCTCCTGCTCCCCGCACCAAGTCAGTGGTGCGTTTCGTCAGCCCGGCGCGGCCCGTTCCTGCTCCCCGCACCAAGTCAGTGGTGCGCTTCGTCAGCCCGGTCCGGCCCGTTCCTGCTCCCCGCACCAAGACAGTGGTGCGCTTCGTCAGCCCGGATCGGCCCGTTCCTGCTCCCCGCACCAAGTCAGTGGTGCGCTTCGTCAGCCCGGCTCGGCCCGTTCCTGCTCCCCGCACCAAGTCAGTGGTGTGCTTCGTCAGCCCAGTCCGGCCTGTCCCTGCTCCACGCACCAAGCCTACGGTGTGCGTCGTCAGCCTGGTAAGGCCCGTTCCTCCTCCACGCACCAAGCCAGGGGTGCGCGTCGTCAGTCCAGCACAACCCGTGCCTGGGTCACCGGTGCCTGGTAAGGTCCCGGTCAACTGCTCCACTACGGAGCTGAAGCTATCCGCTCCACCAGTGTGCAGTCCAGCTCCGGTCAGCAGGGCCAGACCGGACCAGGGGTACTTTGGGGGTTTAGAGAAGGAGTGGGGGTCATGTCCGGAGCCGGATCCGCCGCCGAGGCGGAGTGCCCACCCGGTCCCTCCCCTGTTGTGTTTGGTTGGCGCGGTCGGAGTCCGCGCCTTTGGGGGGGGGGGTACTGTCACGCCCTGGCTCTGGGGACTCTCGTATGTTGAGCCAGGGTGTTCATTTGTTTATGTTCTAGTCGTTGTATTTCTATGTTGGCCAGGGTGGCTCCCAATCAGAGAGGGCTGTAGCTCGTTGTCTCTGATTGGGAGTCATACTTAGGTAGCCGTTAGGCATTCATTGTTTGTGGTTTCTTGTTCTTATTTGGTTTGTGTTCAACCGTAGACATCACGTTATCGTCTGTTGTTTTGATCGTGTGATCATTCGCTAAATAAATATGTTCACCTTCAACGCTGCGCATTGGTCCTCCTCCTTAGACGATCGTGACACTGGTTCCCATTATGTCTATGATTTGTTCCCTATTTAACCCTTTGGCTCCCGCTGTGTTGTGTGCGTGTTTGTTCTATGTTTGGTGTTATCGACTGGTGAGCAGGATTGTCCTCCCTGCGTGGAGTTGATGTTCATTTGTTATTTACGAGTAAAGTACGTTGTATACTAGCTCTGTGTCCTGCGCCTGACTCCGTCCTACCGCTACACACTGACGCCTGACAGAAACACGCACCACAAATGGAGTCAGCAGGTACATTCATTCCTTCCGGATCAGTGGAGGAACGCGTCCAACAGCAGGCGACCATGATACAGACACTTGGCACAGCAATGGAGCGCGTGTTGAACACCATGGAGCGATGGGAGAGAGGGTTTTTTCCTACACCTCCTCCAACTACACAGCAACCCACACCGCTGTCCACCCCTTCGTCACCTGGGTCCAGTGGGATTCCGCTCTCGCTCCCGAGGGCATATGATGGTACAGCTGCCGGGTGCCAGGGTTTTCTGCTGCAGGTAGAGCTCTACCTGGCTACCATCCACCCGGCTCCCTCGGGATACGAGAGCGTGTCCGCCCTCATCTCCTGGCTGTCGGGGAGAGCGCTCGAGTGGGCCAACGCCGAGTGAAGAGGAATAGACGCGGCGTCTGTGCGCTATGAAGATTTCACCGGCCGCTTCCGGGCGGTATTCGATCATCCACCAGAGGGGAGAGCGGCAGGGGAACGTCTGATCCACCTCAGACAGGGGAAGAGGAGCGCACAGGACTTCGCACTGGACTTCCGGACCCTGGCTGCCAGCGCGGGATGGAATGAGAGGGCCCTGATTGACCACTACCGATGCAGCCTACGGGAGGACGTTCGTTGGGAGCTGGCCTGCAGGGACACTACCCTTAACCTGGACCAGCTGGTGGATATGTCGATAAGGCTGGGTAACCTGTTGGCGACCCGCGGACGTCCGGATCAGGGTCCGTCCATTCCATCCCCCAGCACCTCCGACCCTACACCGATGGAGCTCGGAGGTGCTGCTCTCAGGGAGACCGGAAGGGGGGCCGTCTCCTGCACCAACTGTGGCTGCAGAGGACACACTGCTGGTCGGTGCTGTGGAGGGTCCTCAGGGAGTCGAGGTAGCAGGCAGAGCACTGGTGGACCATCCCAGGTGAGTAGGCACCCTACTCACCCAGAGCCCCCTGTTGCGCACATGTGTATTGACATCGAATTTCCTGAGTTTTCCCCGCATTCCCTGCATAAGGCGCTCGTAGATTCAGGCGCAGCTGGGAACTTTATTGATCGTAAGTTTTCCCGTAGTTTAGGGATTCCTATTGTTCCTGTTGATATGCCCTTCCCTGTAGATGCCTTAGATAGTCACCCTTTAGGGTCAGGCC